AAGTTTGATACTTGCAAGTCTTGTCTGTCTGAAAGAGATTCCTGAGATCTTAAGGCCCAAGATCTTGGTTGGTTGATGAGTAAGAACCAGTTTGAGTCAGAGAATCTTGGTGAAATGGAAAGGTCGAGGCCGAAGCCTGGCACAAGCTTAGGGTTTCCGGGTGCGTTTTTCTCACATCCTCTCAGAATACAAACAAACAAACCTTTAAAGCCTGCAAATTTCACGCCTCTCAAGATGGGCTTGTCCAATAAGGAAGTCCGGAATCTCAAGTGGGAGTTCTGAGATACTGGGGCGTTTTTATGGCCCTTAGTTTGAAAGCATGGTAATTTGCATATGAAACTTGGACTAGAACACTAATATGTTGCGTAGGTGTAAACATACAATATACACTTTCAAATAGATCATCCGAATACGAATTCATAGATACTAAACATGGTAGGGTTATATATATGTAAGCTGACAGGAGTGTGTTTCGATTATAAGCCTGCATAACAGTATACAATTTCAAAGACAAAATACACGATGACAATAATATACCCAATGACCTGAAGGATCATGTGTGTTCATTCAAAGAAAGGTTTTCCTATTAATTAATTAGCAAAGAAAAGTCCTTCCCTTGTGGATTTTCCTTATGGGCAAGGAAGTGATTTTCTTCACCTAAATTCCAGGAGGTCGTAAATGTATTGGGTGTCAGGGTTGCCATGGAACCAGGGGCCTGGTCGGCTTCCTGGGGTGTTACAGAGTATTTGTTAAATCTAGCTAACAAAATATATATTGTGTGTTTGAGTGGTCCAGACGCTACATTGGCTTCACATACCATCTTCCAGGCTGGAAGCAAAATGGTTTCAAGACAGCAAACAACAAACCAATTAAACACCAACACCTGTTCCAGGCATGCGACGACACCACAAGTGAACATGATATGATTGTCTACTGGAAGAAAGTGAAAGGACACTCAAAGCATCCTGGTCCAGACAAGGACCTCAACGACCAAACGGATGCCCTAGCCAAAGCAGGTGGACTACACGGCGAGTTATGGTCATTTAAGGTACTGCATTATATATATGCAGACATTTAAGGTACTGCATTATATATATGCATACAGTTCAGTTTACTTTCGGTTTCTCTCAGTGTACGCACTCGAGAGCAATGTACATGCAGTTTTTTTTGGTGGAGGATTTAAGCGTTGAAACCTTGGAAATATATGTCTGTAAGTGCTGTATTATCACTAAACAGTGATTCTATGTACAACGGTTTATTAGAGATTATTGCTGTGTTTTTGTTGTATGCACACTTGATCTTCATTGCAAAAAATTTCTTGGTAAACGGTTTTCAAAAAACACAATGGACCAACACCAGCAGATGACATTGCCCCCCAAATCATCACAGACTGTGGAAACTTAACACTGGACTTTAAGCAACTTTGGCTATGAGCTTCTCCACCCTTCCTCCAGACTCTAGGACCTTGGTTTCCAAATGAAATACAAAACTTGCTCTCATCTGAAAAGAGGACTTTGGCAACAGTCCAGTTCTTCTTCTCCTTAGCCCAGGTAAGATGCCTCTGACATTTTCTGTGGTTCAGGAGTGGCTTAACAAGAGGAATACGACAACTGTAGCCAAATTCCTTGACACGTCTGTGTGTGGTGGCTCTTGATGCCTTGACCCCAGCCTCAGTCCATTCCTTGTGAAGTTCACTCAAATTCTTGAATCGATTTTGCTTGACAATCCTCATAAGGCTGCGGAATTGGTGGGTTTTTGTTAAATGTGAGCCAAAATCATCACAATTAAAAGAACCAAAGACTTAAACTACATTGAATTTATTTACACGAGTTTTAAATACATTTTAAATTTCGTACATAAATTAACTTTTCCATGACGTTCTAATTTATTGAGATGCACCTGTAGAGTTAGAACCGATGAATGTGGTTTACAGGTTTCATAGAAGTAGAATGTGCGCCAATTGAGTCGCTATAGAAACCGAATACTTTAATGGTTGCAGACGAAATAGCTCAACACGAGAGCCAACGCAAATGCAGTGACGAAATAAAACATCATGTTTTAAAGAAGAGTGGCTTCAAATAATTGACCTCAAAAGGAATTCATAAGAATGTTTCATATTATATTATATTATATTATATTATAAAGAATTGTGTTATTCTGCAATATTTTTAATAGAATGTTATTGTTGTAACAGCACTGTAAATAAATGTTTTCTCAGGTAACCTAAAATGTGCATCATTTAGTTACATCAAGGGTCAAATTAAATATAAATAGTAGGGCTGTGTATCACCAGCAAAGTCACGATACGATACTGCACTGAATTTCACCTCAGCAGAATTTAGTAAAACAGCTGTTTATTAAACACTGCATACTATTGTGCAAATTCTAACTATGTGATGTTTTATTAACAAGTTTCGGGAGGAGCGCGCACAGATAATTAACACGGCCAGTTCATCATCAGTAATTACACCATCTATCCAATCAGCTCAAGAGAGAACCTCTATAAATAATCAAAGCAGCCTTACCTCCATTACTCTCTCTCTCTCTCTCTCTATTACAGAATTACACTTTTCTGAGAATAGAATATTAAAGTCGAAATCGCTAAACTGCAAGCTAACCGTTGTTTCCACAGTGGAGAGAGCGTGTGCACAGGGTTGCCAGGTTGACAAAAATAAGTAGCACACTTAGCAGATATTTCCATATTGCACAAGTGGGAAGCTCTGTTTCGAAGATTACGTCTCTTTATATCAGCCAACCCCGGTTATGTTCCTCTGTGGGGAAAGGGACTGTGTCTGCGGCCAGATTAAACCTTGTTGTAGCCTATATATTATGCTCTATTCATTATTTTTTAGAAACCTTGCACTTTTCTACTCCGTTTTAAACTGTGTTCTTGTATTCAAATTAAGCGCAGTCCACTGCAGCGAACGTGCCACAATATCGATACAGGGACAGCTGCATCGATACTCGTATCATCAAATCTCTGACGGTACATCGTCGTATCGATGTATCGAACTCAGCACTAATAAATAGCACATTAAAGTTAAAAGTTGTACACTTTTTTGTGTGTGCTCTGTACGGGTCTGGTATAAAAATGTTTTTCTCAGGTGGACGAAATGTCCGCCCAACATAGAAAAGTTTTGCTCAGGAAGAAACAAAATTAAAGGGAACATTGGTTACAAACCTACATTTACTACTAATGACATCATAACAAGTGAAGCCACCACACCATCTGATTTCAGTGAGTAAACATTACGAGTCATCGAGTCTATCTGTACATTCCTACAATGCAAACGTCCTAAGCATGTAAATACTTTATTTAAGTCAGGACTTTCCCCAACTTATGAAAAGTGTGAGCGAGCTACATGTCCTTCAAATGTCAAAGTGCTCATTCTGAAATCTGAATACAGATTTATGTTTTGTTTTTAAGCGGTGCGCATACTTAATTTACCTTGTACTGTTATTCACTGTGGTTATGTAATTACAAAATATTGTTTTAATTAGGATAGTAAATTAATTTAAATAATTCAGCAGTGGTTTGATTAACAACATATATTTCAAAGTTAATGTCATGGCTTAAACGTTAGTTAAATTAATTTTTAATTAAACAATATATATACAAATTACACTTAATTCCTAGGCAAACTGTCATGCTAATAAAAAACCAAAGAATTTGTGCTGTCCAGCCTGCAGCCCTTTAATTATTATTTCTCAAATTCTCCAAGAGTACGAAGAGGATTCACAACTTCTTCAGAAACATATTGCTGGCTGTAAATTGACTTAAAGACGTGCAATATTATTTCCAAGCATTTATACTGTCCCTCTGAACAAGATGGTGTGTGGTATGCAATTTTTGCTAATAATTTCAGACATATTTAACATTCCCTGCATAATTACATACAGAAATAAATTATGTGTTATGTCAGTTACCTCTGTTGGCAGTGTGCATTAGGGCTGTCAAAATGGCTGAAAAACTAAGTTATATTCAAATTTAAAATGCATAATTTCAGTTAGGGTGAAGAAAAGCTTTTGGCTTCTCTGCTGAGGCTACAAAGAGGGCGCATCAAGCAAAATATTATACACGTTTCTTCAAAGCATAAGATAACATGACTATCTGTGAAAAAAAGTGCATAATGTTTAAAATAATGTTTATAAACCAATTATAATTAATTAAGTTGCTTAAACAACTATAAAAAAACAGCATCATGTATGTATGCATAGTTTAATACAAAGGGCCAAAAGCCAATCACACAGAGTACATTTTTCATTTAAAAAAACGAGTTGCAGTGGGATGGGGAAAAAACCCCGCCATAAAGTCTCGAGATATGTTTTTTTCAAAGTTGAACTTGCATTAATTTTACATGGCTAGAAACCATGCAACCGCATGCATTCTCTTGTGCCAGACGCGAGTGCAATGGTGAAAGATGTCCCTCTAGAAAATGCGTGAAACGTGTTCTGTGTGAACGGCTTGGTTTCAGTTTTGATGTAAACAACATCTTTTCCGCATTGATCTTCTCTTTTCCCGCAGTATTTGTAATTAACAATGCATCTAGTGGCTTTAACTGGATAGGCTAACAAATACATTATAATGCAGTGACATTTACATCGTCATCGCATCTCGTGCGCCACTGATAAGACTGCCTCCTTAACGCACGCCTAAAAATTTGGATTTTTATTTTAAATTCAACGAATATTCGAAATTCAAAAAAAAATTTTGACAGCCCTAGTGTGCAGCTTTATATCACTTATCCTGCACGAATCGACAATAAATATTACAGTTCATTACACTTCACATCTGCCTTAACTTAGCACTACACCTATTTGGTGCAACAGGTATTAATTCTATGCAGGACTTAAGGTGCATTTTACATGCAGCCTAGTCTTATAACCGTCCAGCTGGTGCAGAACAATGAGTTTTTTTACACTTACAGACATTGATGTTGTTAATGTAATTAAAGTTACATCAGCACCCCAACTTACACTCACTCTGTGCTTTACTGTCAAATAAACTAAAGTGAGGCAAATTGCGTATTATTAATAATAACAGCACTTATTTGTGATAAACAATAGTAATATTGCGATTGTTATCAGTTTATGTAATAGTCTGGAGCCCTATATCAATTACCTAAATAGGCTGAAGCACAGCTAATAAAAGTCTGGTAGTGTGTCTGTGCATGTCTAAAGATGTGTGTTTGTGTCAGGTTGAGGTAGACATGAAGCTGGAGTTTGATGAGGATATCAATTACCTAAATAGGCTGAAGCACAGCTAATAAAAGTCTGGTAGTGTGTCTGTGCATGTCTAAAGATGTGTGTTTGTGTCAGGTTGAGGTAGACATGAAGCTGGCTCCAATGAAGGAGAGATTTCCCTCATTTCTCCATCCGGCCTTCCCAATCCAGGAGCCAAACCCAAAGCTCCTCGGGTGAAGAGAGAGAAGAAGGAACCTGGTAACAATAAATACTGGCACTCTGTTTAACTTCAGTTTACTTTCAGATGCGGCTTATGTTTTTAATATTTTTATTTCAGGTGATCCAAGACAAAGGAAGCCAGCAGCTCCTAAAGGTCCAGCTAAGAAAGTGAAGAAGAGGAATCCGTGGTCAGAGGATGATGAAGTTGATAATGATCGGTCCGACAATGAGCTGGATGAAAATGAACCTGTTATTCCCAGAGACACCTCATACAGGAGAGCCTCAGGTGTGTGTGCTTCCATCAACACTTCTGTACTGCTAATGTTTTCGTCATTTAAATCAGGTTTGGTGATATGACGGTTCATGTCATGCAACAGTAGGCCGATACAGAATTAGTTTTATTTCACCATATATATATTTGCATGGCTATCAGTGGGCTGGACTGTTATGTACACATGAAGGGTGATGGAAAAAACATATTTGGGTCATTTCGTGGCAACTCAACCAGATACATCTCTAGTATCAACATTATTTGTTCTTCAGACCCACATTTGGTTTCTGACCATTGAAAATGCGTTTAATTACACGATTTACTCCTGGAGCCGTATTGAGATCCCAATATCTCTGAATCATATAGGGCCTTAAAAATGAAGATGCCAAAAGGAATGTCTGTTAAGACCCTAAAAAGTCTAAAAGGGCATTAAGACTAATTAATACATGAATACTTCTTGAGTTATGGGCATACAAACTTTGGAGAAAAAAACTTGAAAAGTGCTGTTTCCCAATTTTTTAATTGAACCCATGGTTGCACATAATGCAACGAAGACAACTAAAGTCAACATATTTTACTAACAGACCAACCAATTTCTGTGTAAATGTAACATTATGATACTGCAATCTTTCTGAAGTCATTTTAACCCCCTGAAATTTGGCTCTAAATCTCAGGTGAAAATGGCCATTTTGACCACCCTCTACAAAATAATGTATTACTCAGTAAATATTCATCCATAGCATTTAATATTTTGGCTTTCATGTTTATCTTTCTTCGGGAAAAAATATTAGCAAATTCAAAAAACAATGAGCCAGGGAAGTTTCTGAAATTTGGTTGATTTGACATGGAATGACCCATTCAACATCTATGCAAGAAGTAATTGACCAGCTCCTGAAAGATTGAGTTTTTGAAAATAGTGCAGAGGGGGTAGTGTATATGTGATTTTGTTACTAATTTTTAGATTGAGTATTTTGCAACAAAAGTAATGTACTCATATCGTGTTAAAATGACGCTTCACAAATGTATAACCTGAAATGTGTTGTGTTGTTTCACAGCTGTGAAGGCCAAGTACACGTTTGACTTCTCTGAGGAGGAGGAAGAGGAGGACGGTGATGAAGAACAGGAGAATGATGCTTCAGCGTCACCTGTTCGCTCCAGTAAAGACACAGAGCAACACAACGACGATGAAGATGATGACGATGACATTTCCCCTCCAATAACAACATTTACTAATTTGTATGTTGTATATATATTCACGTTTGGGTGAATCTCTCAAAGCCTGTCACAAACATTTTAGGTTCATATTTCAGAAATTGCATTTTTTTGAGTAAACAAAATAAGACCATTAAGAGCTTTGCATTGTGACATTAGTTTAATGACAAGCAAACACATTTATTTTTACTGTAATGCAATATAAATACTTCATAAAAATCTGTACTGTAAAAATTCAACTCATTAAGTCAAAATTCTATAGTGCTTTATACAATACAGATTGTTTACTTTTACTATTTAAATGTAAAATTTTACTATGCATTTATAGGTAACACTTTATTTTAAGGTGTTCTTGTTACAGTGTAATTATACATTTAAGTACTGAGTAATATTCATTAACTACATGTACTTACTATATGGTTAGGGTTTGGCTTAGGGTTACTTGCATGTAATTATGCATAATTTATTATTATTATAATAGTAAGTACATGTTACGTGTACCAAGGACACCTTAAAATAAAGTTTTACCCATTTATAAGTTGGTCTACCTTTATGCTGATTTAAATAAAAATATAATCGTATTAATATTAGTAATTGTTTTAATATAATTTGAAGAACAAATGTAATTTTACAATAATGATAACCTGGATAACAGGAATTTGAGAATAATGAAAATTGTGTGTTTTTGATAGGTTTTGATAGATCCACCCATTTAGAAACTATGTAGTATGCATTTACTCTTATGCTGAAGGTGACAATTAAATACGAATGCAGCTCATTTCAGTTTTAATGAATTCATGTTCAGGTCCACTTCACCAGCGAAGAAGAAGGATCCAGAGACGGTGTTGTCATCTAAAGCTACCTTTGCTGACAAGAGCAGCGATGACGGTATGTGTCCAGTGGTGGTTTATCATGTCTCTGCCAACAAGCAACTACAGTAAACATATGAGTACATGTGTTAATAATGTGGGTTTGTTCATCAGATGTGAAGTCAGACAGCGATGATGACAGGGGTCCAGTGTTCTCATCATATTCCAGCAGTTCTGCTTTTGACAAACCTCCAGCTAAAAAAGGTACAACATGAAAGTGAAAAGTCAACATGAACTCAAAATGTTAATTTATGTGTTCTACATGTTATTGTGAACAACTCATCAGTGGCAAAGAAAAATTCAGTAGGATATATCAGTTTACATTTCCAAACATTCATTTTGCCATTAATTGGTAATAAATCCAGTGAGATTCTTGTTTGCTCCACACAGAGATCTGATCTGATCATCATCAGTCTGTCTGGAGTGACATGAAGAAACAGAAGAAACTGAGACAGACTCAATCCAGAAGAACTGTGTCTCCAAGACGCTTCAAGAAACCTACCTGCAAAGCTACAGAACTGTTCAAAGTTTTAGGCACTTGTGTAAAAATGCTGTAAAATGAGGATGCTGTCAAAAATAGATTTTCTTTATCAATTAACTTCTATTAACTAAATTAAATCAACATTTGGTGTGAGCATCCTATGTGTTTAAAGCAGCTTTATGTGCACATGTGCATCGTTTTTAGGGAGCTTTGCAGGTAGGTTTCTTGAAGTGTCTTGGAGACACAGTTCTTCTGGATTGAGTCTGTCTCAGTTTCTTCTGTTTCTTTATGTCACTCCAAACAGACTGATGATGATCAGATCAGGTCTCTGTGTGGAGCAAACTAGAATCTCACTGGATTATTACAATTAATGACAAAATTAATGTTTGGAAATGTAAACTGATATTGATTTAAATAAAAATATAATCGTATTAATATTAGTAATTGTTTTAATATAATTTGAAGAACAAATGTAATTTTACAATAATGATAACCTGGATAACAGGAATTTGAGAATAATGAAAATTGTGTGTTTTTGATAGGTTTTGATAGATCCACCCATTTAGAAACTATGTAGTATGCATTTACTCTTATGCTGAAGGTGACAATTAAATACGAATGCAGCTCATTTCAGTTTTAATGAATCCATGTTCAGGTCCACTTCACCAGCGAAGAAGAAGGATCCAGAGACGGTGTTGTCATCTAAAGCTACCTTTGCTGACAAGAGCAGCGATGACGGTATGTGTCCAGTGGTGGTTTATCATGTCTCTGCCAACAAGCAACTACAGTAAACATATGAGTACATGTGTTAATAATGTGGGTTTGTTCATCAGCTGTGAAGTCAGACAGCGATGATGACAGGGGTCCAGTGTTCTCATCATATTCCAGCAGTTCTGCTTTTGACAAACCTCCAGCTAAAAAAGGTACAACATGAAAGTGAAAAGTCAACATGAACTCAAAATGTTAATTTATGTGTTCTACATGTTATTGTGAACAACTCATCAGTGGCAAAGAAAAATTCAGTAGGATATATCAGTTTACATTTCCAAACATTCATTTTGCCATTAATTGGTAATAAATCCAGTGAGATTCTTGTTTGCTCCACACAGAGATCTGATCTGATCATCATCAGTCTGTCTGGAGTGACATGAAGAAACAGAAGAAACTGAGACAGACTCAATCCAGAAGAACTGTGTCTCCAAGACGCTTCAAGAAACCTACCTGCAAAGCTACAGAACTGTTACAAGTATTCTAATTTGTTGAGATAGTGAATTGGTGGGTTTTTGTTAAATGTGAGCCAAAATCATCACAATTAAAAGAACCAAAGACTTAAACTACTTCAGTCTGTGTGAATAGAATTTATTTAATACACGAGTTTCACAATTTGAGTTGAATTACTGAAATAAATGAACTTTTCCACAACATTCTAATTTATTGAGATGCACCTGTAGTTCAGTCTATAATTCTTCTTAGGGTTTTATAGCACCATTAGTTTCTATCTGTTAAATTATGACACCGGGTGAGCGTGATTTGACCAAGTAGAACATGTTCCTAGATCAACATCCTTGTTGATCCTGGAACATCATTCCAATCAACCAATCAGAATTGAGAGATAACTTTTCAGGAAATGTCAGTTTTAGGCTTACAACCAGGATTAGGTGCTTCTACATCCTTGTTAATCAGCTATCATTTCCCTCTGATTTTAGGAATAAATTATGGGCAAAGTTATGTTTAGGGGTGGGGATTGGGTTAAGTCTGTATTTTTGGACAGTAATGTTGATCCAGGATCAACAAAAGATGTTAATCCAGGAACATGTCTTACTTGGCAAAATTACGGCGACCATGACACTGAATCATGTGTAGAAGTCTGTATCAGTGCTCTGCAATGTCCATGCCCAAGGAACAGTCTGCAGGAGAATCAACAGCTGCCCAGATGAGAAGAGCAATCACAAGATCTGTGACTCACCTACAACCCTTATGATAGTTTCTTATGATTGGAACTTAGTGTCTCCAAAGAAACTCCCAATGCAATTCTCCCAGGCCCTGATCTGTCCACTCCTCAATACTCAACCTAATCTGATCCAGGTCTGTATGGCAATATCTCACCCAAAATGGGGCCAACACTTATGGTCGAATGTGGCTAAATGTGCCATTTCTCAACCACAGATCCACACATCCAATGCCTATAGCCAAATTCGGCAATGAATACTTGGTGAGCTGCTGCCAGTATAATACAGCCTTGTACGGCTTACTTGGTGAGCCGACACTTAGCCGCAATTGGCCAGATTTGTTCCCGAAACAATCTTTGAAACAGGACAGTGTTATGGAGGTATCTATTAGTAAAGCAGAAAATAAATAAATAATACTGATTAGTACCATGAAAGCCTGGAAAAAGGAATGGGATAAAGGACATAAAATAAAACAAGTGGGAAAATGGAATTAGCAGGAAGAAACTCCAAAGAGCAAAAAGTAGGATGAGATTAGGACGCATTGGATTAAATAAAAGAATGCATTTATTAAGAAAGCATCTATCAGACATGTATGATTGTGCAGTAGAAGGAGAGCCCGTAATTTGTTGCTTAGTTATTAATAACAAAGGACAAAGTTAAAAGAAAGAATTACACTAAAACTAAAATACAAAATTACAACAAATATACAAAGCTCTGGCCTACAGTCCAGTACAATAGGTGGCATAAATATACTTAGGGTAGGCTTGTTTGAGATGCACCTTGCCTGAAATGAAGGCGAGAGTAGGCGGCTGCAGTGAGGGGAGGAGTGAAATAAACGCAGTCAAAACGGACAGTTCTGACCTCTCGAAGTGGAACAGATACGTGATCGAGGCCGGATATCGCGTTATTCTCGCTCATGTGCTGCTGATAAACATGATATAATTTCCATTCTGTTGCTGAATATGAAAATAAACATGATGAACAACACACTCAAAGTGCTTGCTATTTAATTCCATATGAAAGGCATATTTATCTTCCATTTTTACTTTAATACAAACATTTTAGAAACTGTTTTTTTTTCAAAAGTCCAAGTGGCCACTATTGTGATGTAATTATTCATACTTTTATTCATTTACTTTTATTAGCTGTGACTAATAACTATAACTATATATATATAGCTTTTATTGGTGTAACCACAGGTTAATTTAGTCAAATTACACTTTTTTTACATACCAAAAAAAAACACTTTCAAAGCGTATAATAAATTAGACCTAGTTTCACACACTAACAAACAACCCTTAACCGTCCAGAAACCGATTCGTTCGACTGAATGACCCGAGAAGCGATCATGTGTCAGAAGTGAAAGTGAAAGAAGGAACTTCTGCAGTTTTGGGCGTTAAAAGCGCTGACGCACCGACTCTTTGTGTAAAGCGTGGAGAGTAAACGTTCAGACTGAGAGTAGACTGATTGTTAGAGCTATAACATTAGATATCATACAGTGTGCAGGTGAAAGATGCTAAACATATCGACAAAGACGCCGACCGGAGGATTCTCTTTTGAGAACACACGCAGGTGAGACATCGTTAGGTAATGACAACGTGATCAAGACATAAAAAACAATTTACAATGATTGCTAAGTAGCCTACTAATATTCTTGCTGTTATGTTTGTGATGATATGCTTTCACAGAAATGCTGTTCTTGAAGCAAACTTGTCAGAGAAAGGTTACAGTGCTCCAAACGCCAGGAAGACGGGCACCACCATCGCCGGCCTAATATTTAAAGTCTGTTTTATCAAAGCACCGGGTAACACTTTAGAATAATGGTCCGTTGTTAACAAGTAACTATGCAGGAAGTAATAGGTAGTACTACATTAACACTTAACTTAATACTATTAACTAATAGAGAAGCAAGACTAACTAAGCAGTAAGTTGTAGCAAATTTAGGACAAAGGTAGTTACTTATTAGATATTTGATCATTACTAAAAAATATATCCTCATTGAGAACTACTTGCGAACTATGACCAGTTAATAAAGAATAACCAATTAATTACTAATCACAACAGTAACGTCTTGAAAGTGAACAATTGGGTTCTTTGTGGAAACTAATTTATGAATATGATATCCCCCAAATAAGTCGGCTACAGGTTGAAATTGTGACTACTACTCTTACCAAAGGATGTATGTTCTCTGTTTATTTAAAACAAAAACATAAAATAATAATAAAAATAATTCATTTAAAAATGTTAATAATTAGGAAGTGATTGAATTAGTTCACAATTATGAGCTCTAGTTTGTGTCAGTTCAGTATCAATGTATCCCACTCCAAAAGACCTACTGGTAAAATATCACTAGTGCCTCACACAAATGTATGTGTCAGATATAAAATATGTTAAATAACTTATTAATTTACTTGTGAGTAATTACTGAGGTGTTAACATGTTTTTCACTTTAAAATAATAGTCCATATCACTAGTAGTTCCTGCAGGCTGACAAGGTAACGCTTGAGTAATTAGTGAGAGGCTAATGTATTTTTCACTTTAAAGCTAAAGTGCTACTAAGGAACTACTAGTGATATGGACCATTATTTTAAAGTGAAAAACATGTTAACACCTCAGTAATTACTCACAAGTAAATTAATAAGTTATTTAACATATTTTATATCTGACATACTGTACAGTCATACATTTGTGTGAAGCACTAGTGATATTTTACCAGTAGGTCTTTTGGAGTGGGATACATTGATACTGAACTGACACGAAGCAGAGATCATAATTGTGAACTAATTCAATCATGAGCTTGTCAGCATCACTTCTTAATTATTAACATTTTTAAGTGAATTTTCATTTTTATTATTATTCTATGTTTAAGTTTGAACATCCATCCTTTGGTAAGAGTAGTAGTCACAATTTTAAAATGTAGCCGACTTATTTGGGGGATATCAAATTAATAAATTAGTTACCACAAATTACCACGAAGAACCCAATTGTTCACTTTTAAGACATTACTGTTGTGATTAGTAATTAATTGGTTATTTTTTATTAATTGGTCATAGTTCACAAGTAGTTCTCAATGAGGATATTTTTATTAAATAATGATCAAATATCTAATAAGGAACTACCTTTGTCCTAAATGTGCTTCTACTTACTGCTTAGTTAATCTTGCTTCTCTATTAGTTAATAGTATTAAGTTAAGTGTTAATGTAGTACTACCTATTACTTCCTGCATAGTTACTTGTTAACAACGGACCATTATTCTAAAATGTTACCAAGCACCGATTAAATATTTAACTAAACCTAAGTACATACACATGTCATCAATCATTCTATCATTCTTCAGTCATTCTATATTTGTAATTTTATGGTGTAACCTGCTGAGGTGGAGAAAATCAAAATAAAGTGAGGGGGAAAAAATTAACTATATATGAAGTTTATGCTATCGATTGATTGTAAATAAACACTGCAATATTAAATTAATTCAATGGTGTGTAATATTTGATTGAAAGAAATAAAAAATAAAATGTATTTTCTTTTATAGGATGGAGTTATTTTAGGTGCAGACACCAGAGCCACGGATGATATGGTCGTAGCTGATAAAAACTGCATGAAAATCCATTACATAGCTCCCAAAATCTAGTAAGTCAGTTCCTTGGTTGCTCATCATTAGAGTTCAAGTCTCTGTCTAAACCTTTCTTTACATTGCCTGTTATTGTTTCCTCTCTCCACTAAAGTTGCTGCGGTGCAGGTGTTGCGGCAGATGCTGAGGTCACTACTCAGATGATGTCATCAAACGTGGAACTGCACTCACTCAGCACAGGGCGGCCTCCTCTTGTCGCCATGGTGACCCGACAGCTCAAACAGATGCTGTTTAGGTGAAGGAGGTTTGCCATATAGTTCAGTTCTTTTGATTGGATGATTGATACATCATTCTGTCTTTAAATTATTGCTTTCTAGTTAACTGATAATATGTGACCCTGGACCACAAAACCAGTCATATGTAGCACAGGTATATTTGTAGCAATAGCCAACAATACATTGTATGGGACAAAATTATTGAAGTTTCTTTTATGGCAAAAATCATTAGGATATTAAGTAAAGATCGTGTTCCATGAAGATATTTTGTACATTTCCTACTGTAAATATATCAAAACTTAATTTTTGATTAGTAATATGCATTACTAAGAACTTCATTTGGGCAACTTTAAATGCAATTTTCTCAATATTTAGATTTTTTTGCACCCTCAGATTCCAGATTTTCAAATAGTTGTATCTTGGCCAAATATTATCCTATGCATCAAATGGAAAGCTTATTTATTCAGCTTTCATTTAATGTACAAATCTCAGTTTAAAAAAAATTACCATTATGACTGGTTTTGTGGTCCAGGGTCACATATTTGTTTATCTTGAAGGACTACTTCAGAATAGTTTTAGGACTAGGACTGATTGTTTCCCATTGTTGTAGGTATCAGGGGCACATTGGTTCTTCTCTAATTGTGGGAGGTGTGGATGTTAACGGCCCACAGCTCTTTAGCATCTACCCTCATGGTTCCTATGATAAGCTGCCTTTTCTTACCATGGGTACAGTTGCTTTTTCCTTACCTCCTTTCCTTGAACGAAATCAATCTAGCAAAATGCTCATCTTTAAAATAAAAAAACACTGTTTTCACCACCTGCCCTTATTGAGCAAAAACATATATTTCAGGGTCTGGAGCAGCTTCTGCCATTTCTGTATTTGAGGATCGTTACAAGCCAAACATGGAGGTCAGACAACATTCTTATTAATATTTGCACACATGGTATTGCATATTTGTTGTTATTGTAGTTGTAATCAAGGGGATATGTGGACTGATATCACATTAAAAAATATTGAAAAAATATAAAAACATTCTATGTATTTTAAAATTGATTTCTAAGCATGTTTTAATTGTTCTGCATGGAACACGGAAAAAGAGATTTTGAATAATGTTCACAATGATTGCATATAATGACAGTGGAGCCATTTAAGCTAAAAAATGACAAAAAATCACCATAAAGTATCCTAAAATGTAATCCATATGACCTGTGTGCAGTATTGAAGTCAGCTTTGTGTAAGGAACAGACTATTTGTTATTCGCTGATATCTTCCCCTCGGCCATACTGTGGCTTTAAAAACGCATTTGCACTATATATGTAAACTTGCCACAGCGTGTCCAGTCACATGGCACATGAGAGCCAGTTGTATTCAGTAACCTGACACTTTGTGTCTACAAGCGAATTATGAAAATGCGAATATGACAGAATGTACTGAAAAAGCTGTAATAGCTTTCTATTGTTAGTGGCCTTGGTTCTGGTATTTTCCTATTCATTTCATTCATTTTATATATATATATATATATATATATTCAACTATGTCTGAAATCTTGAACTTGAAACTTGAATCTGAAGAATATAAAAGTCTAGTAAAACGACATAAGTAAAAGTATGTGTTTTTTATTTGAAATTAACTATCCACTGAATAATTGTGAATAACGGTGAATACAATATAAAACTACTGATTTACAGTATATTTATGATAAACATATTTTAAAATATTTTTCCCCCAAAGCCTTTATATATGGGGGAAAAATATGCATACTTACATACACACATATGTATATTATTCCCGATGTCTATTATATATTATATAAATAAATAAATATTCAATCAATCAATCAATTAAAACAAAACAAAACAAATAATTATTCTTTGACCCAATTTTTGTCCTGAATGTGCTTTTTTTAATCCCACTTCTAAAACTCATGTTCTATATTTGTTCTTTCCAAACCCACTTCTACATAAACCCTTTGGAATGAAAAGATGGAGGAAGCAAAGCAGCTGGTGAGAGATGCCATCACCGCAGGCATCTTCTGTGATCTGGGTTCCGGCAGCAATGTGGACCTGTGTGTGATCACAGACAAAACTGTGGATTATCTGAGAGCATATGACCAGCCTGTTCAGAAAGGAATGAGGTGAGATATATAGACTATCATCAGAATTTTTTCCATATACACATTGTCCTGGGATTGGGGGGTGGGGTGTGCATTTCAGAAAGCAGAGTCAAATTGCCGTCACATAAACCACAAACTCGTGGTCTTTCTGAAGGCCAATTCACACCACACTGAAAAACACCAACAAACAAGTTGGCCAACAAAACGCTGACAAACGCTGATTGAATGTTCACTTGGGTGAAAACAAACCCCGACCAATTCCAACAGACGCCGACAGGGTAACACACTGATCAGACAAAACCCAACAAACTTTTGGACGTACTTTTGTAGGCCAACCCTGAAGTTAGCATCACCCTGGTTCCAATTACAAAAACCCAATAGTATTTTTCTGTTGGCTTTTGGATTACTGCAGAAAATAAGCTCTGTGACCAACAAAAAAAAATTATTTTGTCATACGAGCGTCACCATCACTCTTTCAGTTTTTTAAAAACATTTTCTCTGAAATTTTGACTTGTAATTGTTTGCAAGAGCATGATAATAAACACAGTGAGGCTGTGAAAGAAAGTTTTCCTGTTCAGCGTAATATTTAATGTGCATGACAAGCTCTAGTCCCATGTAACCACTTGTTAACAACCACCTTTTTCAAGAAAAGTAAAAGCTTTTTAAAAAATCACAAAGTGGTATTATTGATATATTTCTTGTCATAGAATACAATTTGAAAATACATAAAGGCATTTTTTTAGGCATTTAACCAAAAACACATTTAGAAAGCCCATTGACTTTGAGATAATGGAACCAGAAGTGCTAAGATGCTAATTTGTTTCCGGGGTTTGGCCTACAAAAACACATCATCCCTGCAGCACTCTATTTGTGTACTTTGCACTATTCTGTGACATTTTTGTATAAATAGTGTGTTCTCACTGCAAAATCCAAAGAGAAAAAGTGCACTTCAAAATTGTAACTTGGTTGATTTTGTTTTACTTATTTAAATGAGAAAATTGAATGAACGCTGGACACTTGCTATGCCCTCAACCATCATAGGTTTAATTGCATACAAGAGGAGGAGGCACTTTCAGATGCTGGATAACAAAAATAACCTTATAAAATTCATACTTTCTGGATTATACCCCTGATCAACTCTCATCCAGCACTATAACCAAAAATTGAAATTGTTGTTCAATACAAAACTGCCATGGTCTTATAATAACCTTCTGAGTTTACAGATATAGATATGTTTGAATAAAATATCTTAAGACTCAACTAAATATTCTCTCTTTCTTCCAATGATCCAGGGAGGGTATGTACAGATACAAGCCAGGTACTACTGCTGTGCTCACAAAAACAGTGACTCCATTAACACTGGATGTTGTGGATGAATCTGTCCAAGTGATGGATACAGAATGAGACATGAAGTACATTCTTTGCTTCACTCATTGGAAAATATGAGGGATACTGTATGTGTGTAGTTTAAAAATTGAGATTAAGGAACGAAAAGAGTATTTTTCCTTTGTGGTTTGAAAATGTTTTGTACCTTTCCCCTGTATTCAGTCATTTGCATTTGAGCTGCTCAAAACTGTTTTGCAAACATTGTAAAATATTGAAGAGACCTGTCGGATGCTGAATGAGACATTTCCTTACACCTGTCATTAACCTATCAGATAAAAGATGTTTGTGTAATTTTACAGTTCATTTAATAAAGTTTACATTTCTTTAAACTAACTGAGCTAAATATTCACATTCACATTGATGAATATTAACCAATAAAAGGTTTTATAGTTTCATAAAATTTTTATAGCCACATATTTCAACATGATGGGAAATGTCCCATTGTGTTATTCCCAATTTGAAACAACACTTAACCCATTTAATACCATTTTCTCCAGCTACTGTAAGTGAATTAAATTCAAATTTATTTATTTATATAGCGCTTTTTACAATACAAATCGTTGCAAAGCCCATTGAATTAATTATTATAAAGTTATTTATATATTGAAGAAGTTATTATATCTATTATTTTTAAGTTAGTGAAAGCATGAGATTTATTTTTGGTCACAGTTGTTACCAGTAGGAAGCTTAAAATCAGTCAAGATTCTCAGCAACCTGTGTGTGATGAGTTAAAAGAGAGTGACTCTGATCTGTTTTTTCTTTCTTTTAAAAAAATAATAATTTAATAATATTCAATCATTTAATTACTCCATTTAGTCATATAATAATTTATAAATGTTATTAACTTTATTTTTGTTAATTTATTAACTTATTTACAGTACTTTCACATTTTCTTATTGTTATTGAATTGAATTGTGTTAGTTCAGGGGATTTTTGTCTTTATAAGTAGAAGATTGTCTTCATTTTAAGGCTTTTAAAGGGGTCATATGATGCGATTTCAATTTTTTACAAGCTCTTGGTGCATAAAGAAGATTTGTAAAGTTGCAAAGACTAAAGTCTCAAATCCAAAGAGATATTCTTTATAAAAGTTAAGAGTCAACCACGCCTACCTAAAACAGCTCGTTCTAACACCCCCCCACATATCTACATCACTATGTGGAAATATTAGCATAATGCCGCCCAAATGTGCACGCAAAGACAGAAGGCATGGTTTCAGGAACAGCAGTCGTGTTGAAGCAGCCATGTCAGGGAGACACTGTGTTTCAGTGCTAAAGCAAAAGCACTTTATTTGGCCTTTCGGAAGTAGATGCAATTAGGAATTAGTGTTGCTTTCGTCAACGAAAATTATGACTAAATATCGTCGTCAACGAACCTTTATCACGTGACGAAAACGAGACGAGACGCAACGTAAATGCTGGTCATGTGACGATGCCTAAAATAAAAACTATGCTAAAATGTCTCTTCATTTTCGTTGACCAAAACGAGACGAAATGAAATGTTATAACGTTATTTCGTCTCGTTTAGTCGCGTTATTATTATTATTTTGCAGTATTTCTGTTTCCTGTGTCTCACTTCAGGGGCTGCATCAGGTCGCACTGCACCGAAAATTAGTTCACCGCTCAGGTTTCACGTGGTGTGACACTCTGCGTATTATCCCGCTCTATGCGTGTGTGTGCTCCACTCAGTCGCTCACGGCTCATGTGAGTGCTCCACTCATATACCGTTCATGCTCATCGGAACAGCAAAGTCCACTCAAAAATCAAGCTGACAGGAAACATCGATGTAGTACAGTATTGTTTGTGTTTGCAATAGCCCTACTGTGTTGAAACAAGGTGTGGTAAATGGGCAACTCTGGTAACGTTGCCCTCTCATTCATTGATCTGCTAACCGTTATGCTCATGTGTCCTCTGATAATAATAGCTTTCTAGGATTAAAAAAATCTCTTAATAGCCCTACTGTGTGTTAGACCTACCTGAAAAACTAAAAAGCAATTTATTTCATTTGTAGGCCTATCGTGATTTTTTTTATTTGTGATATCATTTGTAATTTCTTTATTTGTTCTTATTTTATTATTAACTGCTTAGCCTCCTTGTCATTTTTAATTCAATTCAAAGTTTTAAATCAAGTTATCTCATGCTACTGCAACAAAATTACCAAACTGTAAAATAAAAAATACACTGAGTGAGCAAAACTTTATTTAATTACCATTATAACTAGCTATCTCACAATGTTTACATATGAATAAAAGCCTAAATTAAAATCTGTCATATAAATTGGTCTCTTCATTAGAAATTAGCCTACTGATTGCCACCATTGATAGACACATTTTTTTTATAATATTAAAAATATCTGTATGACA